TGGAGAAATAGCTGTGGAGTTAAAATAGGAGTTGAGTTACAAATACAAAAGTGGAATGAAAGAAGCCAGCTGGCAAAGGTGCCTGGTGCCCTGCAGCGCCCAGTGCCAAGGGAGGAATGACCTATGCCAGGCTTTATTTCAAGCCTGGCACTTCTTAGGCTGGCCAAGCCATCTGCTGTCCCTATCTAGAATTGAAGTAGCATCCAGAAATTCCAGTCGCAGATGATACTGATGTACCAGGTGCCAGACAGCCATTTTTGCACTTTTTCTATTCCCTACCATGTGATTCAGCCACCAAGCAATGTGAGCAAGCTGGCAAGAGGAGCCTATACAAAAAAAGAATATTACATGGAGTTCATCAGACAAGATGCTCTCCAGTGACATGACAATCTTTGATATTAAAGATGTGGCTTCCACTTCACATGATAAGCAGGGCAATTGCACCACTGGTGTCCTGCTGCTGCCCTTACTGTTTCCTTCTCTCCACTTATAACTAGTTGCCTTTTTTCCTCCTGGGAACAGCTTGCTCCTGAGATGCCATCTAACTTGCCTCTCTCTCCCTACACTTCAGAGATGGACAGGCCCAAGACATTACCCAAGGCCCAGCACCCTGTTTACAGGCAAGAAGACTGAACCTCGGAAGATTTCTGTTGGCTTTTAAAGAGCTTAATCATGCCAGGGTTTTATTACACAGGCAATAAAAGGATAAAATTAACAATTTTGCAAGTTCACTCGCAACCTCTTATACTCTCTTCTATGTGTGCTGTTCATCAAGGCTTTGAAGCAGCAAGATATGGTACTGCATGACCCTGACAGCTGCATGCCAGGGCACATCCCCAGATGACCTCTCAGCCCATTTCCCAGCACACAGGTCCCTCACACACACAGGCTGATCTTCTCAGTCCCATCTGGTTTCACGTGCATGCTCCCACCTCCTTACCTATGATGACCAGGATGAATAGGGCTGTTGCCACTCCCGCAGTCATGAAGAACATGATGCTGATGTGGTAGGCCAGCTTCTCCACATCCCCCACATTGGGGACCAGAACTGGAGGGACTAGAAAGCCCACAGCGATGCCAAGCTGAGCAGGAGAGAAGGGAGAGACAGAGAGAGGTGTGACATGGAACCACAACACTGCTGACCACCCCACAGCTGAGCCCTCTGATGCCCAGTAAAGGCTCAGCTGGGCCTCATCTACTTTGATAACCAAGGTGAAAATCTTCTTTACCACCCAGTAATTAAGAAAAAAGCCAGCTATCCACTGCAATTAGGTCATAAGAGAGGTTCCCCCCACTGCACTCATAATTGTCAGGATATTCAAGGCAAGGTTTTACAGTAGAGGTGAGCAGAATGAATACCTGCCTCCATCAAAGTGGAGGTCTTGCTTCCCCTGTCTTCCCCCATTCATGTAATGTTCCTGTCCACACATCCCACTCCTTACCTTGTACCTACTCTGGTGCTGGTCTGATCACCTCGCAATCCAGTTTGGCCCATTAAAAATGGCAGAAGACAAGACCATCAAAATCCACCAATTCTTTGCTGGGTTAATGAGTGGAACTAATTTATTTTCCGCCCAGACAAGTGCAAGGGCTGAGACAGAAACCTGCTCACTTCTAATGAGTGAGGTATTAGTCTGGCTCAGCCACTTCATGACACTGTTTCCTAACGAGCCACCTCCAAAAACCAATGCTCACACACTTTAGTGAGGACATCAGGGTTTTAACTCCACAGCTATTTCTCCAGAACAGCGACAAGGGGCTGTAGCGCCACAGGCTTTGCCACACTGGTAATTGGGACTGACAGTGGCACAGACCTTCAGTGCCACCCTCAAATAGGAGAAAGAAGAAATAGCTGCTTTGGTGCTTCTTTTCATTAAGTGGGAGCCAAAGTGCACTCAGCACATTCATGAGTACTCTAAGCATACGAGGAGCCTACAAAAGCCACTTCCCAGCCCCCCACCCCACCCCATCCCTTGTGTTTCACTGTTTGTGGCTGCCTTTCAATCACCATTTGGTTCCCAAGCACTGGGTGTTTACCTGTTCCTCTGGCCCTTCCCAGCACTTGCAGCCCTCTCAGACATTACAAAAAGAGTCATGCTCAAGCTCAGCTCTTGCTTGCTCTCAAGGCTCAGCACACTCACCCCTGTTTGGGGCAATAACAATTTTTTGTTTAGCAACACTCTCATTTTTGCTGTTTCCTGATTTAATCCTACATTTGCTGTTGTGGACAGTGACAAGGGACACACAAGAGCCTCCAATAGATGGAAGGACTGAGAAAGCACCCAAGAAAGAGTGGCTGCATGGCCACCTGCCATCTTTCTCATCCTTGCTTGACACAGAAATCCAATCTCTTTGGCAGGCTGTACCATTCACTGGAGACAGGAAAGTGCTAACAGTACTAGAACAGTACTAACTGAACCAATACAAGACTAGCAGCATAAAAAAAAAACCCACCCAGGGGTTATTCATGCTACACTAATATAGCCTCTATAGACCCACTGCCCGCATCACACTAGGAGAGGAGGTAGGAATACACAAAACATGGAAATGAGGATACAGTCAAATTAAGCCAAATGCATTTACTGTTTCCTTATAGGAAGCACTGGATTGATAGGAATCAATTAGGACCACCATGACTCATTGTCCCAGGATAATGAACCAGAGATGATACTGTTTGTGCCTGAACAGCAGCAAGACAGCACTGCCAGCCAACTGCTGCCCTACAGAAGGACTCTGCAGTGTTCCATGTCTTCAAGGCCTTGGAAAGGGTCTAGTACTCGACAGTATGGAAAGCAAGAACTAAGAAAGGCAAGGACTATGCTGCCCATAAATCACATCCAAGCATATCAGCATACAGAGCAGAATGACCCAGGAGCCCTGAAACACGGGCACAAGCTTGGGCATATTTCCTGAGCTGCCTTCTAGCCGGAACTCCTTGTGCTTCCTGCATGCTTTTCTGGGATGCTCATGGACTCATCTCGGAAGATCCTCTCACTGGCTGGGATCAAGATCACAGAACAAATACATTTCAGGTGCCATATCTGGTACCTGGGATAAAAATCAGCTTGTGCCAGAGTGACAGATCACAAAAATCAGTCCAGCCCCAGACAATTCTCCACAAACTCATTCCTCCTTCATCCAGCTAGTGGATTTTTGAGACAGGAAGAATGCTTACGTTTCAATCAGCACTATCTGCTAGATTCAGGCACCCTATTTAGCCAGTCAAGGAGTGAAAGAGCTCAGAAGGAAACTTAAGAGACCATTAGGAAGCTTAAATTTTCCTAACACCCTCACGGCACAGGCAGCTTCTGACATGAAAGTAAACTTGCCAGAGTTTAACTTTGTTCAGACATGGAGCAACCCCAGCCTCTCACCAGTGAGTGAGGTCTGCTCTCCCACCCTGCACTGCCCGCTGACCCCTGAGACTCGCCAACTGCCAGCAAGCACAACTATCAGCTAGCTTGGAGGCTTCCAGCCCTGACCTTCATTCAATTGCACGGCTCCCCATTCTCTGCTCGAGGGAAAGAAGCCTGCAGCAACATGAACACAGATGCTCACAGGGATCACTCCTAGAGGGCAGAAGCCTGTTTGTCTCTGCAGCACATTTATTTTTCCCTGCTCGTGGCCAAAATGCAGGCCTGTGGCTCCAATGTGCCTGATCAGCCCAGGACACAGCCACACTGGGCTTCGCTCCTATCTGCTTAGCATTCCCAAAGGTTCAAGCTTTGAGGAAAAGAGTCTCAACACTGCTCCTTTCCACTCAAGGGAAGAGCCATAGTATCACAGAATGGTTTGGGTTGGAAGGGACGTTAAGGATCACCTGGTTCCAACCCCCCTGAGACAGGCAGGGACACCTTCCACTAGACCAGGTTGCTCAAAGCCTCATCCAGGCTGGCCTTGAACACTTCCAGGGATGGGGCATCCACAGCTTCCCTGGGCAACCTGTTCCAGTGCCTCACCACCCTCTCTGTGTAGAATTTCTTCCTGATACCTAATCTAAATCTGCCCTCTTTCAGTTTAAAGCCATTATCCCCAGCTCTTACATATCAGGTCTCACATGTGCTCCTTTACCCAAATAAGGTCTATCAACACCTTCCTGGAAATTGCTCCTTTGTCTTATCACCATTTCATTCTTGGAAGGACCAGGCTAGATTGCTGTGCTAAGTGCTTCTTGGCTTCCTGCTTTCTGCAATCACATGCTAGCCCCACTACCACGAGATGCTGAACTCCAGCAAAACGAGAGGAAAGTAGGAGAGATACATGCTTTATTCTGACCTCTGATGTAAGTTTCTCCAGGACCACATTCAAGATTCACTCAGCTTCTCTAGTTTCTCCTTCCTGAAAAAAGATCTATATGATGTACCTAGCAGAGAGGGTACTGAGAACCTGTTTGACAAATCCAGAAATCCTTTACTGGGAAGTCCTAGAGCCATCACTTATGCAATGGGACACAGACTTACTCAGCTTTCCTGGACGCTGCTGTTGTCTTTTCAGAAGACCTGACCAATTTTTCTAACTGTAAATGGATGTTTTGTCCTCTTTCATCCCCTCCAAAAAGGAATCACTTTATCCATTAGGAGTTTGTTAAACCTTTGAGAAGGACTAGGTGGTAGAAGGGGGAAAAATCCCAGCAATCGTAGCAATAGGAGATACATTTTATATTTCAGAGCAACTGATGTTATTAATCCCATGAGGATGAGGCCCCTTGACTTGACTAAAACTGAAGATTTCCTGGAGGATACTCACAGACCCTGGATTATTCATACTATTTTTAGCAATGAAGACAACAGGGTGAGTATTATACAGCACATACTTTACCTTTTGCAAAGAGATTTTCAGCCTGTTTCTCAGCAGACCAGTGCCCCCATCACCATCAGCCCAACAGACTAACTGGTTAACGAGAAAATTGAAAGATGCCTTAGCAAGGAAAAAATAACTTTTCTCCCTTCTCCGCACCTCTCGTGGCAGAGCTGGGAAAATAAAGCAATGTAAAAACAAGGTTGGTTCTGCACCAGTCTGTGCTACCCTCCTTACAGAGACCATTAGTCATTAGGGTTCATAGGGCAGTCCCTCTCATCAGCATACAAATTATCATCCCCAACCTTTGTACAGGCAGAAAGGTCTCCAAGACCTATACAGATAGGCTCTAGTTCCCGAAGTTGATGGCACAAGGGCTAACAGGTTTAAATTAAAAGAGAGTAGATTCAGATTAGATATAAGGAAGAAATTAGACTAGATGAGGCTTTGAGCAACCTGGTCTAGTGGAAGGTGTCCCTGCCCATGGCAGGGGTGTTGGAACTAGATGATCTTTAAGGTCCCTTCCAACCCAAACCACCCTGTGATTCTATGAAAATTCGGTACATCATTCAGCATCCCCACATCCAAAACACACAATACTGTCCTGATCTCCAAGGATGTCTCCTTAGGAATCAGATTGCTGGTGCTTTATTTTAAGGCGGCTTTGGGGTAATTTTTAAACAGAATACCAGGGAAGTCAACTATTACAGCAGAGTGCATTCTTCAGGTGACTTATCCTTTATCAGCTGTTAAATAATAGAAGGAATATATTTCCTACCTGATTTTTGTCAAGGACCAGTCCCAACATCATCATATTCAAGCATATACAGTAACAGGCAACAAAACCAAGACACAAGTGGCGAATAAGATGGTACAAATGTACCTGAAGCTTTGAAATGGAAATTGGGATGTCTAATTTAAGTTCAGCTGTTTGTATACCAAGAGTCTCCTGAAGGAAGATAATCAGTGCAGTATCAGCATAAAAACTGTAAATGAATGATCGATGGAGAATGGGTCTCTACCTTAAAGAAAACAAAGTGTCAGCAACAAGAATACAGAAGCCCTATAAAATTCCATAAGTAAGCACAAATGTTGACAGAGGAGACCACCAAACCCAGAAGGTCAATTAAAGCGTTAAAAGAGAGAAAGAGAGAGATGCTGCAAAGGCAGAAAAAACACAACAGTGAGAAATTTCGACAATGCCCTTGCAGGCTAAATAAGCATCATGACAGGGATGATGCAGAGACTGCATTTTTGGATTCCATAAATACTCTTTTCTGAGGAG